CCCTAAACCCTAAACCCTGAACCTTGACACGGGCTGCATGATGAGGGACTCCTCGTCCTCCTCTTGCAGCCTTGAGCCGACCTTGGGTTTGGGGTTTCGGGTTTAAGGTTTAGGGTTTAGGGTTTCTAGGGTTTAAGGTTTAGGGTTTCGAGGGCGCTTCGGCGGAGTGAGGGCTTGCGGCTTTGGAGTTTAAGGCTTGTGGGCTTTGGGATTTAAGCTGGGTTGCTCTTTATTACCTTGCTAAAATTATAACTTTTAGTACCCCTAGTATCAAAAAAGGCTCATCCTAAAAGTGATAAAGCTATAAAGTGACTGTAAAGTTCAACCAAGTAAGGTTAAGGCTCTTGGGCTTGGGCTTGGGGTTTTGGGTCTTGACCCTAAACCCTAAACCCTAAACCCTAAACCCTAAACCCTAAACCCTAAACCCTAAACCCTAAGGACTCAGCCTCTCCTTTCAGAGGGTTCACAGGGTTTTACAGGGGTTCCGGGGGGGGGGTAAGGGAAGTGGGATACCCCTAAACTCCTAAACCCAAAACCCTAAAACCCTAAACCCCTAAACCCTAAACCCCTGAATCCCTAAACCCCTAAACCCCAAACCTAGAATCTAAATCCTTCGCCGCTTTGCAGGGGTTTGGGCCTTGAGGACTCAAGTGCCTGGCTTTAGGGTTTGGGTTTAGGGGTTAGGGGTTAGGGATTAGGGTTTAGGGTTTAGGGTTTAGGGTTTAGGGTTTAGGGGGTGTTGGGTTTTAGGGTCTAGCATTCAAGGTCCAATGTTTAGGGATGTTTGGGGCTTACCTAAATCCCCAAAAGCAAGTAAAATAATTTCCCAGGACCTGTAACAGGCCATTATTTTACATATTTTTGGGGTCTAGGAAGAGGCTTTACGGGTAAGCAAAGACCCAAATGCAAGACTTGGGGCACAGAGCCCGTTCCAGCAGCCTCCAAAGCACTCCCCAAAACCAAACACCCTAAAACCATCCTAGCATTGGGCTTTTACGGTTTAGGGTTTAGAGTCTATATTAGGGCTTAGGGCTTAGAGTTTATATCAGGGTTTAGGGCCCTAAGCCCAACTAACACCGACAGTACCTTCAAACCGCCGTCCTCACTAGCTGTTCACCGAAGGCATCCTGAATGGCAAACCGCTCCGAAGTCCCTAAACCCTAAACCCTACCCCCTGAACCCTAAACCTAAACTCTAAACCCGAAACCCTAAACCCTAAACCCTAGACCCTAGACCCTAAACCCTAAACCCTAAACCGGGGCGGGCCCTGGGTTCGAAGTTCAGAGTTTCAGGATGTTTGGGGTTTAGGCCTCGGGTTTCGGGATTTAGGGGTCAAGGGTTTGGGGTTTTAGGTTTCGGTTCGGCGCTTCGGGTTGCTAGTGGTTGAGGAAAAAGGAAGCTACAGGTGGGGAGTTTAGGGTATATAGGGCTTCTATAAGGCTTCTTTAAGGTATATAGACCTTCTATTAGGCTCCTATAACCGTAACTATGAAAATGTCCTAGGCCCTCTGAATGCCACACTCTTCGAGCGAGTATCCTGGGTGGTAGGAGAGTCTTTTCCATGCTGCAGCAGGGCGCACAGACCTTAGAATCAAAGCCGGCACCTAAACCCTAAACCCCCTAAACCCCGTAAACCCTAAACCCTAAACTGGTACTCTGCAAACAAGGATAAGTAGTCTTAGATAGATCGACCTCCATCGTAAGCCCAAGCCCAAAGCCCTAAACCCTAGAGCGGTAGTTTACGGCTCGGGACTTTGGGATTCGGGTCTAAGGCTTAGGGCTTCGGGTTTAGGGTTTAGGGTTTAGGGTTTGGGGTTTGCGGCGTAGGGCTTAGGGTTCCAGGTTTAGGGTTGGTGAAGCGGGGAGCCCCGTGATGTGGTGAAGCGCGGTCCCCCGTGATCCGGTGAAGCCTAGGATAAAACTTGGAACCTTTGAAGATTAACCGTGAATCTTTTAATCTTTCAGTACAGAGGCTCACTGTACAGCGAATCTGGTTGGGTACGCTCAGCAGAAAACGACACCGGATGCCGCACATTCTGTTATCTCCCATCCACTGGCACATTGCTGAGCTAAGACTTGAACCAGTGCGTAGGTGAAACGGTGGGCCTCGGACCTGGAGCCTGTAGCCTAGCCCACTACGAGAAGTCACTCGGACTCTGGAACCTGGAGCCTCCGGCTTTGCAACGGAAGGTCTGGAGCTTGAGGCCTCTAACCCATGGAACCGAAGGCCTGGACCCTGGAGTCTCTGTCTCACTGCAGAGGTGTTATGGAAGGTCTGGAGCCTGGAGCCTCTGGCCCACTGCAGAAGTGAAACGGAAGGCTCTTTCGGTTTGGCAAAACGACGAATCCCCAAACCTTTCAGAATAGGGGCCCGCTAAGAGCAAATCTGTTCCGGCACGCTTGTCGGAAAGCCACAGCGGATACCGCACGCTCTTTTGTCTCGCATCCTCTGGCACGCTGCCGAGCTGAAACTTGAACTACTGTTTTGGTGAAACGGCAGGCCTTGGACCTGGAACTTGTAGCTTGGCCCACCACAAGAATCCACTCGGACTGAATCGGTAAGCCTGGAATCTGGAGCCTCTGGCTTGTCGTAAAAGTGCAACGGGACAACAGCTTTCTCGCGACTGCGCATGCCGAATAATTAATGCTCAGGTCACTTTGCGTTTCAGCTCTTCTCAGGTTCCGGCGCAGCCTGCCGGCAGTTCACAGTTCACAGGCAC